GAGAGCAAATGTTTTGAGAATGATGAGGGCAATGAATGTACAAATGTGCTTTACACAATTGATGTATGTATGGATTGTGATAAGAGCCGTATGGGCCCCTAATAAAACGATTAAAAAAAAAGATATAAAAGCTTTGGTTAGAAATAAAACCTCACGAGGCTCGCTCTCCTGCCCGTTCGTCCCCCCCTCCACGTGTACCACCAAGAGGAGCTGAGGTGAGCATGCTACCATGAAATGTGTCTGACTCTCTCTCCCATCTCTCCCATTTCTCTATGACTTTTCTATGATCTTTATATAACTTAACCATACAAATGCACCTACCGAACCCGTGATTAGTTGTGGGGGGCTGGCTAACCCCACAAGAGACTTAAGAAAATATTAGTAAAAGAGGAGTAGCTCAGTATAAAAAAATAAACAAGAGGCAAACAATTGTGGGTGGGCCATAGAATTAAGAGTAATACAAGTAAGCCAGGCTGTCTGCCAAGAGTTCATGAGAAGATAAGTTATTTAGGGGTTGCATGCTTAATTATGAATTTATGATCACCCTACACACTTGCTCAGTCAACTCTGAAACAACAGGTATTAAAAAGTATTTACTCAATAAATAGATATCCTCATTCTCCTAATATTATAAATTAAAGACTTCAATGTGGATATGACTCACCGACCTTGTGACAGATTCTAGGATAGACTTGACTTTAGATAATCCTTCTTTACCAAAATACACCACTGTGAGGTGAATCCTCCTGTCCTGATGAATACATACATTCCTAACAGAATTGAAGAAGAAATTATGTACAAAAACAATACAGCAATAACAAGCAGCAGCAAAAAGAAAAACTAGAGGCATTATTCAATTAGCCATTATACAAAACTTTAAGAAAATATATAGCCAGCAATGTTGCTGAATTGGTAAAGGCATTACAGCAAATGTATACAACTTACATCTCTCATGACTGCAATCCTTGAAGTATCATAGAAGTATTCCAACAATATTGCCATATTTTAAGGCATTTTTGGAACTTGGGCTTTGGTATTGACTTAGAAGTAAATTACAGGCCATGAAGAAGTTCAATCAGTTCAGAATCAAATAACTAAATATTCAAGTTTTGAACCTAAAGTTCTTTGCCCTCACGCTGACTAGTTCTGGAATGTATACTTATTATCAAAGATAAGTAATCCAATATTACTTATAGCATGATTTCTTGTTATTTTACTAAAAAATAATATTACCTTTTAAATCTAACAATTCCATTACCAGAATAAGGATTAGGATTGCAAAGCATTAAAACCAGCATTATAAATAATCTAGAATATTTAGTTTGACAATAACATTCCCTATTACAAAAGGTCACTTGAAAATATTAATAGAAGTTGTTTAGTCTACCTTTAAATTTCTAACAGTATTTAAAACATAGTAATTGTTAAATTAAATGAAAATTTAAAAAGCAGTACTTTCTTGGAATTACTTTGTTATTATTTAACAACCTGTTTGTTTTAAAATATCCATATTTGCCCGCCCCACCCCGTTCCGCTATAAAGGCAAGGCGGGTGGCACACTCTGGGTCCAAGCTCGGTCCGGTGCCCTGTTCCGTTCCTCTTGTGACCCCGGTTGCTCATCCCAGCCCAACGGTCAAAATGGTGAAGCAGATCGATAGCAAGGAAGATTTTCAGGCAGCCCTGAAGAGTGCTGGAGAGAAGCTTGTAGTGGTTAACTTCTCAGCCACATGGTGTGGGCCCTGCAAAATGATCAAGCCTTTCTATCATTCCCTCTGTAAACAGTATAGCAATGCGGTCTTCCTTGAAGTTGATGTGGATGACTGCCAGGATGTTGCTTTGGAGTGTGAAGTCAAATGCATGCCAATATTTCAGTCTTATAAAAAGGGACAAAAGGTGGGTGAATTTTCTGGCGCTAATAAGGAAAAACTTGAAGCTACCATTAACGAGTTAAGTTAATTATGCTTCCTGAAAATGTAACCAGCCATCAGCTGTGTAAACCTTTTTGTATTTACAAGAAAGAAGAAGAATCAAGTATGAAGACTATATACCCAGCTACCATCTGATTATAAATGACAATAAAATATTAATTCTACCCTTTAAAAAAAATATATCCAAATTTATTAACAAAAAGGAAAGTGTTGCTAACTTAGGACACTCTTCCTCCATTTTTTTTTGGCTATAATTCTAAAATTTATTTTAATTTAAAAACTCAACTTCTGATGACAAGAGTTTTCTGGGAGATAGGAACATCCTATATATCTTAATTTGGATAAGAATTATAAGAGTGTATACATCTGTCAAGTTAGGGGACCTGCAGATTTTATTGTATGTATATGATGCTTCAATAAAGTTAATTTAAAAAACTGTATTTTTCCTAAACAGAATTAGTACATAAAGGTCATCAATCTCCCTTTTCAATACGTTTCCACCATCAATTGACTTCTGAGTTCAAACTGTCAATGAATAGTATACTACACATTTTAAGATGCGAGACCATCAAGGAATTCCCCTTAAAGTCTATAAAATTATTCTGCAATTCTAAGTACTCAATAATGATAAGTTAAGTAAATCTGCATGAAATGTGATTTTTGGCAGGGCTTAACCAAATCACTAAGACTTACCTGAAGTTCTGCATAAACTGTGCAAACGCTTCCGTTCTTTCAGCAAGTGGCACGATGATATTAATAATGGAGCTGGTAATGTCGATCACCTCATTCTTTACTTTCATGAGCGGTCCAAAAGGGCGGAAGAGGGTCACATGTCTATATTCCATCAGGTCTGTTTTCTTAAAGAAGAGTTCGTACTGTGTGCCCTTATCTCTCTCGGTGCGACAGTAACCTAGAGGGCAGATTAGGAACAAAGATGTCTCCGTGTGAAAATGTATTGAACTCAATGGGATTACTGATTTTATGCAGCCACAAGTATTAAACCAGACATGTAGGGTTATTTTTTATCTATTTGTAACAATAGATATCACCCTTGTACATTCCTTTAAGAAAAGGAGAGGTTTTTACAAGTTCACTATTCTGTTATTATTCAATCCATAAAATAATGCTGAAAATGGCAATTGCATCTTCTAATATGACTGTTTTTTCATAATAAAGCTACCAGAACAGCAACCAGATTAGAAATGTAAAGAAATTACTTCTAGCAATACCAAATTGTGGATTCAAGAATCAAAAGGTCTTCTACTTGGTTCAGTTCAACAAAAATGAGCTGTTTTTGTTTCAGTCACTAGTGATATAAAGAAGCCTATGGATATAGTCCAAGTTTTGATGAAGGGCCAGGCAAACATGAGACAAAAATAAATGATAATAACAATAAAACCAAAGTCAAATTCACTACAATCGTGTCGACGCCAACTATCAGTGACCCTATAGGACAGGGTAGAACTGTCCCTGTGAGTTTCCAAGACTGTAACTCTTTATGGGAGTAGAAAGCTCCGTCTTTCTCCCATGGAGTAGCTGGTGCGTTCAAACTGTTGACCTTGAGGATTACAGCCCAATGTCCAATCACACACGCCACCAAGGCTCCTCACAGTAATAATACAACCCTGGATATACAGAGGGAGCGTTAAAAAATTTGTGGAAAATTCCATTATCTTTTAATTTTATTTTCTCATGACTTTTTGAAGCTCTGAATGGAAACATATGAGGGGCTTACTCAGCCCCCCCCCAAAAAAAAACCCAGACAAAGCTGCACTGTAAGGAGCTTTTGTAGTACACATTCATATCCACCCTCACCCTAGGCAAGCATCATTGGGCAACTTGCTCTGAGTCAATGCACCCAGTGGAGTTGCCTGGAAAGGTTCTGTCTGGTCACAATGAACTTTTTTTGTGAAAACAATTTCACCTGAATCTAATTTTTTGAGGCCGATTTAAGAGAAAAATGTGCGATTGTGAAATTTTGTTTCCTGTTCGGGAAAAATACCACAGAAATGGTTGTGATGTTAAACACAGCTTACAAGGGCAGTGCTATGGGATAAACTCAAGTGTACAAGTGGTTTTCTTGTTTCAAAAGAGGTGAAATGTTGATTGATGACAAACCTCATTCTGGATGTCTGTCAACTTCCCAAAAGAATGTAGTGCTTTGGAGGTCATTCAACCAGGTCAGACTGTTAATCAAACTTTCTATTTAGAGGTTTTGAAAACACTGCAGTACAGTGTGCAACAAAAAAGGCCTGATTTGAGGTATATGGGGACTGGTTTTGCCACCACAACAATGCACCTGTTCATGCAGCCAACTCAGTGTGCCAGTTTGGGGCAAAAAAACAAACAAAACAGTATGCCTCTCTTGCCCCACACACCTTACTCACCTGACCTCACTCCTTGCAACTTCTTTTTGTTTATGCAAATGAAGAGGGACATGAAAGGACAGTGATTTGACAATTTAGAAGAAGTGAAGAGAAAAACAAGGGTAGTGCTGTCAGCTGTGCAAACAGATGAGTTTGAAAACATTTCCAATAATGGAATTGCAGATTTGACAAATGTATCAAGAGAGTACTTTGAAAGTGATAAGGTTGTTTGGTAAAAAATTTTAAATACACAGCTTTGAAAACAATTTTCTCTTTTTTGAGAGGTATCCCTCATAGATATGTGACATAAATACAAAAGAAAATTTTGTATAAAATTAAGCACAGTGATGTGAGATGGTTTTGAGAGAAAAGTACAGTAGTCTATTAGGCATTATGATTTTAAAGTGTGGCCCTCAGGAGAGAAAAAGTTAGATTTAATGTATGACTACTCCCAGTTAATATGGGGGGCGGGGAGGAAGCGGTGAATAACCTTCATCAGGCTGCTTTCTTGACTCTCTGGTCAACTAAACCAGTAAATGAGCAATTCCATACAACTAGAGACATGAGAAGAGAAATGGACAGTAGTGCATTTCAAGATCATCTTGGAAGTCAGCTATCTTAAGACCTGTAGGGCTGGAGATGACTTCCTGGAAGAGTTGACAACTATACTAAAGACAAGAAGATAAGTGGCCATTAACTCAGGTGACACTGTCAGTAATTGCTGAGGGTGTGCAGGAACATAGTACAATAAAAATGTAGGACAAAATATGCAAAGAAAAACACTATGAGAGAGTGCAAAGTAAATTATAAGATGAGCAGAAGCTGATGGATATAAAAGTGGCAGTTTTCATTCTTTTCAGGAAGAGCTGATGTGATTTTATATATGGTGTGATTTTATATATTTTATATGATGTGATTTTATATACCTAGTTATCTTATTTCCTCTGCAGCTTTCAATCTACCATAATCTATGGAGTAAAATGACTTTCTATAGTTTATATTAGAATGTAGAAATTTCCCTGCTTTTCCAAATACCAAATCTGCTTTTAAAAACTATATAAGCCTCTTTATGGCTGGACACATGCTTCTTCCTCCAAATGAGTAATAAGCACGAATCTCCTACATGAATTTCTTTTTTACCAAATGGCTTTCAAATTTTGAGCTGCAGCTCATACATTTTCTTAAAAATTAAAAAAACAGAATACCACAGCCAGGTAAGAAAGGCAAGCAAAGATATAGTATATATATACACTACATATAGTATATATATAATATGTAGTGTATATATATAGTATATACATATATACTATATATATATCCATATCCCATGGAATCTGCTTCAATCTCAATAATCATAGTAATATAAACTTAAACAAAAAACCAGGAAAACACTCATTGCTTTTGAGTCAATTCTGCTTCTTAGCGACCCTACAGAACATGGCAGAATTGCCCTATGGGGTTTCCAAGGCTGTAAATCTTTACACATCTTCCTTCCTTAGTTCCATGGAATAGCTGGTGGGTTTAAACTGTTAACCTTTCCATTAGCAGCGGAATGCTTAGTCACTGCACCACTAGGGGAATATGTCTAAGCTATATAAGCTTAAACCACTCAAGCGAACTGTCGCTGAGTTAATTTCAACTCATAGCAACCCTACATAGGGTGTTTCAGAGACAGTAAATTGCTATGATAGCAGAAAGCCTCGTCTTTCTCCTGAGGAGCAGCAGCTGGTGATTTTGAACTGACAGTTTTCCAGTGAGAAGCCCAATACCTAAACCGTACACCCGCCAGGGTTCCTTATTATATACTTAATTGCATTTTATTTCCCTGGTCCACATTCTCTGTTTTACTATGATCTCATTGTAACTTTTTCCAAAAGAAGACAAAATGCAAATTCATTGCCATCAAGTGAATTCTAACTGAGCGCAAGCATATAGGACAGAGTAGAACTGCCCCCATAGTTTCCAGGGCTGTAAAATCTTTATGGAAGCAAACTGTCACATCTCCCATGAAGAGGCTGGTGGGTTCAAATCACATTTTTTGTTTATCAGTCAAACTCACTTGAAATTCATGCTGCTTTAATATTGTGGATAATGCTTACTATATTATCAGTATATAATATTAGCATTTTGTCATAATAATATAACTGTAAACCAATATATTTTTCACATTACCTTCTATGAAGTCATTTTCATTAAATATCAGCTTCTCTCCCAAGGGACTATCCTCATCTTCCTGTGTATCATCTTCATCAGGATTATTAATGACCTCCAACCCAGCTTCAATAACCTCTACCAATTCATCTCGCTTGTCTTTTCTAACTGGCTTTTCCTCTGGATGGCGAGTGAGACCCATTTCCAATTGGAATACTTTCATTAAGGTAAAACTTTCAAAGGGAATGACCCCATATTCACTTGGTAGCTTGGCTCCTATGCTAACTTCAGCTTTGTCAATTTGGGAGTGCAGAAACTCTAAAAGATCAGTAGGTGCTTGCTCTTTGTTGCCTTGGTAGCCTATGCCATTGAGCCCTCCATTTTTTCTTTCTTGCAGTGATCTCATCCTCTCACTCATTTCTTGCAATTCTTGTTTCAATTGGGAAATTTGGCGCTTCAGGCTGGTTGCCCTGGTTTGATAATGTTCTTCTTGTTCCTGTAGGAGGGCTTGATAATATTCTTTACCATAATTCTCCCCAAGGACACCCGGTAGAGAAGCATTTCCATCAGTCTGGGGTGCACATTCCAGAAGGTACATAAATAATACCAAACTGCAGAGTAAAGCCAGGCCCAACAGCAGCCAATGGGTTCGGGTCTGAAGAATTAGTCCTCTTCTAGGCATTATTAATGTGAACTTGCTTAAAGAAGTATGTTCTTGTTCATACAAAATAAAATCCTAATTTCTGTAAAAGGTACTAGAAATAAATTATTTCTCTCTTCAGAAATTCTTTCTTCTGCAATCATAAGTACTTGAAGAAGTGAGAGATTATATATACATCCTATATTGTGACCATGATATCCAGAATAAAGCAATCTGATCTATAGAATTAGATAAAATCCATTATATGGTAGTGACTTACCTATAAAAAAAAGAAAGAAAGAAAGGAAAAAGATCAGACTCAATCAGTATGTTGTACCCAGAAAGCATATCAGATTGCTGACAGCTTCAGTACTGAGCTATGGGCACCCTGACAGCATGTAGAGCACTTCAGAAGAAGTGTTAATTAAATGTAGAATATTCAGTTAATAAGAGGAAGTATTAAGGAAAATACCTCACAAAACACTAAACTATCATGTGACATACTCTTAAGTAGCATGCATAAACATTCATAATCTCCGGGATCAAACGCAAAGATTATGTTCACCGTAGTTTGTGTTATGTTCACCGTAGTTTGTGTGACACAGATTCTACCTTTCTTAAATGATCAAACATTGTATTTCTTATACTTCTTTATTAACATAGTATTTTGATTACATGCCTTTCCCAACTATAGCATATGGTCATTTGGAAACTGAGTTACTCCAAATTATTGGTTACATCAATAACAAAGATATTTTCTTCTTGCTTATTCAAATCAAAGCACTCCATTAATTTCCATAATCCACTTAGTCAATTTAAGAGGCCTTAAAAATAGTTTTTGTTTCAAAAGGCCACAGACATCTTGGGAAAAAAATATTTTTTTAAAATTAAAAGATCATTTTATTTTATTTGGGGCTCTTACAGATCTTAAGCATTAAATCATATAACCCTTCCCACTGTGCTGCACAAGAACAGATTCCATGCAAGTTTAGAAAGGCTAGAAATCTTTATACTGAAAAAATATGTCTTAATCATGTTTAACTGAAGAGGATTTTCTTTAACTATTATAAGCTTACATAATCACATGCTATTTTTCACACTTCTATCAGCTATATGGATGTCTATTTCTAAATTAAGGAGTTGTAATTCTAGAAGTATGGACGGTTAAAATCAGGAGAAAGGGAGCATGGGAGGATTCCACTGGAGACAGAATCTTGATTCTAACAAAGTGTTAGTCAGGATGATACTACAGAGATGGTTTCTACCAGCTGAAAGTATAGAACATGATTATTAAGATATCTTCTGAGGAAAATGTTGCAATGTGTGTTTTTATGGCACAGCTTTGTATGAAGATGCATGATAGAGCCAAACTTCTTATGGCTAATCCCATGATCAAATCCATTCCTTTTGAGTGACAGGGCATAGAACTGCCTGACAGGGTTTTCCAAGGTTTTAATCTTTGGGGGAAGAAGATTTCCACAACTTCCTCCTGTGGAGGGGCTAGTAGGTGTGAAGTCTGAAGGACCTTTCAGTTAGCAGTAGAGCACTTCAAGCACTTGGTATCAGGATATCTTTTCTTACGCATCGTAGGCCACAAATCTTAAGCGTAGCCTTGGTCATTTATTGCTGTAGTAGCTAAATGATATCCAGCTGTCCTGGTATTTTTAATTCACCAAGAGAGTCTTTTATTATGACAGCAGCTGTCTAAATCTAAATCTTCTTTTATTTTTAAGTAATTTAAAAAAACAAAGTTCTAAGAAATATTACCTAATTAAGAGTCATGATGCAAAACCAACATTAGTTTCAGGATTTTATCACACCTCAAAACTAAAATATTTTTTAAAAGACATCACACGAACTTCACTATTTAAAAGGTATTACTTGGAAGCACCTCTTCTAATTATTTACAAGTTGTCACTAGCCCACTACTGGGAAACGAAAAGCTAAAACAAAAAATATAGAGAAATAATCCTGCATAAATTATTAATCCTGCATAAATTATTAAGAAATAGGTGTTTAGCCATATTACATCCTGTATTACAACAGTATTTAATTACTACTGCCTTTTGTTAACATTGTATCGGTTAGTTTTTTCTTCTATTAGGGGCCCTCAAAAAGTTCATGGAAAAATTCCATGATTTTTTAATCACATTTACCACATACTTTTTGAAGTGTACTTGTAATGTGTTTTAAAATTAGATATATAATTTGTTAATGGGTCTCTAGCAACAACTGATAGTGACCCAGTATGAATTATCTGCCTCAGTCTGAGTCTTGGGGAATAATTCTTAAGTATTCTATTACTAATTGAAAGGTATACAGTTTGAACAAGCCAGCCACTCTGCAGAGAAAAGAACTGGCAATCTATACGCATAAACATTATTCACTGATACTGACTCAGCTCTAACTCATAGTGACCTAGAGGACAGAGCAGAACACTTACGTTTTCTAAAGCTATGGTCTTCATTGAAGCAAAATGTCACCTCTCTTATGAAGAGCTGCTGGTAGGTTTGAACTGTCAACGGCTTGGTTAGCATACAAAACCCTATTCATTCATTCATATATGGTTGCTATGAGTCAGGATCAACTTCACAGTATACAACAACAACTATGAGTCAAGAATCAACTCCAGAACACACAACAACAAATACAAGCAACACTGTAGTATTTTTCAAAGAAATATAATACAAAATATCACTGAGCACCACATATATAGGGTAACATAGATGATAATATGCATGAAGTAAGCAAAAGGCCAACAAGATAAGAAATAAAAGACCAAGATGGATGTCAGAGGATGAAATAATGAAGTCAAACAGTTAAACAGAATATTCCAGAGGGCATCTCAAGAATATAAAGTAACCCGCCACACCAAGGCAAAACACTAAAGGGGTGCAACAGAACAGCAAGGGAACATAGCGGCGAGGTCCCCAGGGAATGCTGAAGGTGG